TGTATGCATAAATGTGGGTCAATCAAAATTAAATAATTAAATAAATAAATAAGGGTAATTTAGTAATTTGTTTAGTAACATCCAAAAATAATCCCTATAATCATGGTATTGACTTTTAACCTAAATAAATAAGTGTGTCTTCCTCAATCTCCCACCCGATAAAGCCCTAGCATCCTAGAGGGTATCGACACTTTCAGATCGTGTTTGGAAACCCCTCACTGATCGTCCACGAGTTCTAATCGGAAATCCGGAGTTGCAGCCTTTATCTAATCGAGAGTTGACGAACAACCGAAGGTAGTCACGGAGGAAAGCACCAAGACAGCGGTGTGGCTCTGGGGCTGCTGGGTCGTGGGAGAGAAGCAGCCGACATACCCGGTGTATCTCGATGCTTCGTTTTTCCACCTCCCACAAGCTCCTCCAAAAGAAGTATTCTTCTATGATTCGTTTCCCCTCTGAACCCTTCCACTTCCTTCCGCAGCTTCTAATCTCCCCCAAGCTCCTCCAAACCAGACAACGAATGAAGATCCAACCTTTGATTTTGAATTTGAGGTATGCTACACTTGCTGCAATTCGTTGGTGTGACAGCGACCCAACATCCAGACTTTATTTTCGGATTTGAAGTATCCACTTCTCACATTTTTTTGTTTCAGTAGCGGGATTTTTCAGTGTATGATATCTTAAATCGGCCAACGGAATTTCCTTAGCTCAAATTCTCCGATTTACATTGTTTTCATGTTGTTTCTCTGATCAAGGTGTAATATTTTTGGTGAAGTGGGAATTTGTTCTGATTGTCTAATTTTTACAGGAAATTGAATGTTGTTTTGATGCACACCAAGCGCTCGCTAAAATGCTTCAACTGAATGGTATTTCTTCGTTTATAGTATTCTATCAGAAAAGAATGTTTTTATGATAATCATGAACATATTCTGTTAGAATGCCCGAATTAATATAATTATTGGTAATGAATTCCAATTCTATGAGAATGGAATCACGAATTCCAATTATGTTGGAATGAAATATGGATATTTTCTCACTAATTTATTCATTGGATTTGTTTCCACAGAAGCTGATGCTTGAAGAACGGACCACGAAATTTGAACGACGCCTTTTAGCAACATTATTTTTTTAGAATGTATTAGTGTGTTTATTAGATTTTGATATTTTTTTTTCCAGATTTGAAAGTTTTTTTAGTTTTATTCTTTAACAATAAATGTAATTCTTAGCAATTGTTACATGTATTCTATAAGAATTAATGTAATTTTTGTTTTAATTCTTCAATTGATGGTTCGAGAATTTTGTTATTCTACAAGAAATTATTAAAGTCATGATCAAGAAATATGTTCAAGAATATTTTTATTATTTTATGGTTCAAGAATATTTTTATTTTTGAACA